TTTTAAACTCTACAAAGTTTTGCAGCTTATCTGAAGAGCAAACTATTATTAGCTATAGAAACAACAGATTTGGAATCCCGGATGAAGACTTCAAACCATGTGCATTGTTCGCTCTGAGTAAGAATGAAATAATTCTTCTTTCTTGTTTACCTCCCTAGTCTTGAATTACTCAGATTGTCTTCATCAATCAAGTCATTTGAGAAAACTAGAAGAGCCAAAATATCAGAAACCTATTATTATTTTACAGAAAAAAGTAAAATTTTAAGTTGTGAAATAATTTATACACAAAAACATAGAAAAGTAAAAACTTTTTTATTATCTTAACTTCTAGACTGATGCTCCAAAATAGCTACTAGCTTCATTATCCACAAATACCTGGGAGATTTCTGAATGTCAGCAGGGACAAGTAGATCAATCTGACTAGAGGAAATATGGTGCACTAAAAGGGACATTATAAAAGAAGTCAGGAGACCTGATTCTGTGTCTGACTCCTTCCCTAGCAGGCTCTCTGACCTTGAGAAACCTCTTGAGGTCTATCTCTCCATTAGTGAAATGAACAAAATATTCTCTGCGGTCCATTTCTAATATAAAATTATGAGATCCAAAGAACATAATGCAGATATTCTGCAAAGTCTACTAAGAAGAAACTCTTGATTGTAATTTTGTTAAATTTGGAAAATAACCTACTTCTGTAACACAGGTGATCAAAGTGGGATCGTGCTATTTCAATATCTGGTATACATACCTGAAAGGTTGAAGGTAGAGCAAAAATTACAATGAAGTGATTACTTACTATGTGCAAAAATAAGCAATGTGCTAATTTTCCAGCACACACCTATCCTATATGAATCCTAACAAGTAAAGTATAATGATGTTCCTCAAGAGGGTTAATTTCAAACCAGTGAAGGGGTTTGAATAATATATTTATATATAGTAATATATATAAATTTAGAAATTGAAAGTTGAAACACAGGGCAGTATTTCTCCTATTATGTACAGCATAATCCAAACGACTTCAAAGTTGTGATGGAAAAACTAGAAATAAAAGCCATCACAAAGTTAGTTTATCTGCTTATAGGTACAAGACTTCAAATATTTTATTTTAAAAATTATAATACTCATGGCTTTTGCACCTTTACTCATCTATAAGAACATTACCTTGTTACTAAACCTACATTTTGCATCTTTTTATTTGATTTATTGAACTAACATGTAGAAGCTGAGCTGTAGTGTTTATTTTCCTAAGTATTTACAGAAATACAAATATGTACCAAGTGGCAGAAGGAAGAGTTGATGGTAAGCATGTGATTCAAAATCTTGCAATAAAAGTCAAGGAGGAGGAAAAAAAGACACGCACACACACACACACACACACACCACACACATATAGAAATGCACGTATATATTTCTTTCACCTGTGTGTGTATATTTGTCTGTATACATATATAGTATGAAAATATGGAGAAAATTTCAAAATAGCACAGAAACAAACTTCTGGATTTGTGATTCTGAAATTGTTTAAAGTAGGAAAATATTATTTCATGGTAGGGTTACTCAGGAAAGCTTTATAAATGAGGTAGGTCTTGAAGATGAGAAAGTGCTGCATTGCTGAAGGCAGAAGAATGTCAAAATCCTTACAGGACTGATATTCATCTATAGAGGTTAGTTACATAAATATTTCTTGGGAAAACCCAAGCTCATAATTAGTCTTGGTTTGTCTGTCCACATTAAGTTATATTACATTGCATACAGTTATATTTCTTCCTGTATTATTTCATAAGTAATGAAATCACTCACATCTATTGATTCTATCTGAAGAAAAATGCAGAGGTTACTCTTTACAAGTAGATTTCCACCACAGCATGATTATGTGGTAAGCTAGTAATAATGAAACCACTTGATTTTTACTCTTCATTGGAATAAATATTTAAATAAGATTCATGGTTACTCCACTTAGAATCCATATAACAGACCAAATCCATTATTAACCAAAACTAGAATTAATTGAAGTGATTTTAGGGAAGCATCGACCTTCCTCATATCATATGTGAACATAGTACTAAATTTATTGAGTGTTTAGTATATGGAGGACAAATACTAAGTATCTTACATGTGTTATCTCATTCAATTCTCACAATAATCAAATGAGATAGTTAATATTAATATTTTCATTTACAAAGGGAGAAAAAAACAGAGTCTCAGAGAACTTATGTAACTAGTTACAGCTAGTAAGAAGCATAACTTATTCTCAAAAACAGCTCTCTCTCACTCCATTCTGAAATGAGAAATAAGTGAACCCTAAGGTATCCCACAGAAAAAGAAACAAACTACAATAAAAAAACCCACCTTCATCCACAACATTAGCATAATATTGAAACTATGGTCACAAAAGTTATAATGGCTCAAACTTACAGAGGCAAAAATGACATAAGACCTGGTGATAAGGAATCTAAAGTAACCTGGGGCAAGGGCAAACCAGAACAGAAAGTGACCCCCGAGAAACTGATACAGATACTGGGTGGAGAAAGCCAGAGCTCTAACCAAAAGCATACATTTTTTTTCTCTTTTCTTTCTTTTTTCCCCAGTTCAATAGCACTTTCTTGTTTTAATGACTGGGTTGGGCCAAAGGATATTTTCTGTATGTTGCCTTCTCCCCAGATGCTGCCAGATTCCTGTTACCTTATGGGCTTTAAACCTACCGTCTTTGATTGGTCCAATTTAAAACTTAAGATGTATCTAAAAGAAATCAATATCTGGAAAGGCCTGAACCTCCAAATTCTACAGTTTATTGCAAATAAAAATATATAATTCAAATCCCTGGTAAAATTGAAAGTAGGAGATCAAAATAAGTTAGCAAACCTGAAAGGAGAATTAGCCCCTTCATTTGTGAACAGTGCAGATCAAAGTTAATTTCCCTGTTTTAGAGAACTCTTAGTTCCATGGTATACACCCCGACGATGCGCCAGAAATCACATTTTAGAGATGTTTGAGTTACAAAACTAATTTTGTTTTAATTTTGAACAAAATTTCCTAGTCTTTGACGCACTGTTAATTGAGGTCTGAATCTACCCTATATCTCACGCACAGTCTACTTAACATAGTACTGACCAAACCTGTCCGTAGTAAACTTACTTTATCTAGCTTTTCCCCATCAATGGCAATATAATGAATCAATCTCTCATATAGAGAGTAAATTCAGAAAAATATTAATTTTTCATGGTAGCTGGTGGCCAATAATATTAATGAATTGAAAATAGTACCATATTAAATATGAAACAATTTCAAGTAATTGCCATTCTGATGAATTTTTGCCCCAATTTGCATATAGAAAGCAATTAATTTAAAATAGAAAATGAATTCTTTCACACTAAAGAAGAAATATCATCTTTTGTTTTTGTTGTAATGAGTCATACAATTATGTGGCACAATCTATTTCTTTCAGAAAACTTTTTGGATATAAATTCCATTCTTTAAGTGTACTTAAAAATTTTCATAATTTGTGATGCACTGTTATTTATTTTTCAAGTGCTAATATATCATACCTTTGCCTCTCAGGTCTAATGAAAACCATCTCTGCTTTTAATATTTTAACTTCACAGAGTTCAAGCAAAATTTTAATTTGTCAGTTTCTTAAAACTGACTATACAGAAACAGAGCATAGTCAAGGTACTTTCATCACTCAAGCCATTTTCATATTTAACCATTTTTTTAATAGAATGAATATACTCTTCATTTTCTTAGACCAAATTCAACCCCATAAAATTATTTGTTAAAAGACGTTATCTGTTTAAGTCAAAGAGCACTGGGATTGCTATGTGTGCTCAGAGTAACAGAACTACTGAAATTTCTATGAATAATAGGAAAGTTTGCAGAGACTTAGCAAACTAATTATTTCTAAATAATCTCCAAATGGCTAAGCTAGTGAAATGGAACACATTTATTTTAGCATAGCTAACCCCAACGTATATTTCTACTTGGTTAGAATTTCTGTTCATAGAACCACCAATTCAAAATCACTGGCTAGATCAGAGCGTTTGTTTTACTTCCTTCTTTATATTGCAATGCTGAGCAGTGTGGCATTTGTAATATTAGCTACATACTGTTGTCTGCATTTGATAGAATCAGATGTATGTATATGTGAAGAGCAACACTCTAAAATATTCAAAAACTGCTAAAAAATATTACACGAGACTAATCTTGTGCTCACAAAAGAGAAGAGAATTTAAGCTTATAAATTTTTTTATTCAGAACATTTCAAAATAAAATGACATTACATATTAAAGACAGAACCAAAGAAAACTAAGAGGCATCATCAAGTATTAAAGCTAAGTGCCCTAGCAAAACAAAAAAAGGAAAAAACAAAAACAAAAACAAAAAACTCATACATTTTTAGTTCTTGCTTCGAAGAACATAAAAGCTGTAATTCGCATAAGAAAAATAAGATACTTACTATATCAGATGTCTGCTTTCAACATATACTGAAAGTATCTTTAGCACAACTTCAATCCATGGTGCATTATTTATTTCCCCCCTAACAGCAGGAGAGATTCAAGATGTTCCAAAGCTTTACTTTTAGTTTTCTTCAACCACAGTCTTTTACATGCCCTGTTATTTGCTTCAGCATCTATGAAACAATTCCATCCTTCAAAACAATCAAAACCCTTGAAGCAATCCACATCTGCTTCCTTATACTGAATTTTAAATCTAATCACATACAAAAATATCCTTTACTTTGTATTTTACTTCAGAAAGTTTAGAGGGTTGAGTATTCTAAATCCCACTACATACCACTAAATGTAAATTACAGCAGCTCCTTAGATTATAACTGATAAGGTGAGGCTTTTGCATTTATATTGGGTTCTGAGGAGCTGATGCCATATCAGCCTAATAATTAATAATTCATGGAACCAAATTACAGCCTTAGAAGGAAACAGCTACTTTGACTAGTTCTTTCATAATCTTCTGATTTATGTATGACAGCACAGAAGAGTTCTAGGAGAGGTTAATAAAAAAAAAGAAAAAACCAGACATAACACTTGAGTTTTAAAATTAGTACTGCCTTTGCACAAGTTGGATTTGTTGTGGCATTATGGGAACTCTACCTTTTTAAGCAGTGAATTCAAATGGGTTTATTTTAAATGAGGATCTGGCTCGCGAGAATGTCCAGAGCAAAGTCCAGAATGTGGGAGGGTAGGTAGGGGACAGTAAAGCCAATTTGAGGAGTACTTTGGACAAAGAAACGGAGGATTCCCCAGCTGTTTTCATATAGTGGTCTTTAACATGGTTTCTGAGAAGACATTATACGTCCAATCTACCCTATATCTCATTATCTTTCATACTTAAAAACAAGCCAAGCTGGGTGCATTGGCTCATAACTGTAAACCCAGCACTTTGGAAGGCCATGACGGGCAGAGATGGTTCAAGCCCAGGAGTTTTAGATAAGCCTGGGCTACATGACAAGATTTCATCTCTACAAAAAATACAAATAATTATCAGGGTGTGGTGGTCGATGCTTATGGGCCCAGCTACTTGGGAGGCTGAGGTGGGAGCAGCACCTGAGCTCGGGAAGTCAAGGCTGCAGTGAGCTGTGATTGTGGCACTGTACTCCAGCCTGGGTGACAGGGTAAGGCTTTATCTAAGAGAAAAAGAAACACAAACAAACAGACCTGTAAGGAACATGGTTACCATGCATGTGCTATGTGGTGTTCCTATGTGTTTGTGCTCATTCCTACACAAACATGTGGGTATGCACAAAAATTCACATGTAGTAGTTTCTTCAACACATGAACTACCTATAAGCTATACAGCTTAATAATCCTAAAGATTATTTTTATTGAGAAGTACTTCATATATAGTAAACCATAAAAATCTAAAGCATATAGTTTTAGCATAGAATACAGCCATTAAAAAAAAATGAAATCTTGTCATTTGAAGCATCACAGATGCCACTGGAGCATCCATGTTGGAGCATCCAATTGGAGGCCATTACTCTAAGCAAATTAACTGAGGAAAAGAAAAACCAAATACTACATGTACTCTCTTATAACTGGGAGCTAGACACCGGGTACACATGGACATAAAGAATGGAACAATGGACCCTGGGAACTACTAGAAAGGAGAGGAAAGGAGTGGGGCAAGGACTGAAAAACTACCTATTCAGTACTATGCTCACTACTTGGGTGATGGAATCAATCATACCACAAACCTCAGCATCAGGAAATATTCACATGTAACAAACTCACACAATGTACCATGTGATCCTAGAAGCTGAAATTTAAAAAGAAAGTGTGTAGTTCAATCCATAATCCTATTAAGATGTAAAATATTTTTATCATTCTAGAAAGTTCCCTTGTATTCTTTCTTTGTCTAATCCTGCCCTCAAAAGAATGGCTTATCTCATTTCTTGCACTATAGGTTATGTTCCCCTATCCTGGTGTTATATGTGAATACAAAAAGTATGTATTTCCTTATGTAGGGCTTCCTGTACTCACCACGTATTAAGATTCATTTATGTTGCTGTTTTTAACTACTACATAATATTCCACTGTATGAATAAACAACAGTTTATATATTCTCCTACTGATGAACACCTAGGCTGTTCCCATTTTTTGCTACTTTGAATAAAGCTATTAACATTCTGGCTGGGTGTGGCGGCTCACACTTGTAATTACAGCACTTTGGGAGGTCAAGATGGGTGAATCACTTGAAGCCAGCAGTTCAAGACCAGCCTGGCTAACATGATGAAACCCTGTGTCTACTAAAAATACAAAAGTTATCTGGGTGTGGTGGTAGGGGTCTGTAATCAAGCTACTTAGAAGGCTGACGCAGGAGAATCATCCTGAACCTGGAAGGCAGAGGTTGCAGTGAGCTGAGATTGTGCCACTGTACTCTAGCATGGGTGACAGAGTGAGACTGTCTCAAAAAAAAAAAAAAAGTTGAATATAAGGGTTGTTGTAGACACATTTTCATTTCTTTTGTAAAAATTCCTTTGTGTATAAACATAATAAACATAATGGCCGAGTCATAGAAAAGATGTATTTTAGCTTTTATAAAACTGTCAAACCCTTTTTTTAAAGCAATTGTACCAATTTAGGCTCTGACGCATAACATATGAGAGTTCTAGTTGCTCCACATACTTGCCAGTATTTGTTACTGTCAACTCTTTCATATTAGCCATTTTGGTGGATACATATTGGCATTCCATATGGTTTCACTCTTCATTTTTCTTGTAACTAATGATATTGAACACTTTTTTCATGTGCACATTGATATAAAGCTCAGTTTTCACTAACTGTTAATAAAGGTTAGAAGTAGATCAAAAGGAGATTTTCTACCTAAGTCTCAATGGTCTTTGAATCAGTCCATTTATGAAATTCCATATTCTCACCCAGTTAGGTCTAGCCCCTGTCCCTCTGGTCAGATATTGTTCCTGTCAACACAGAAGCCCTAAAATCTGCCTACTCCACCTCTAGTGGCTTCCTTTACTCTGGATTGATGATATTATACCGTTTTTTTTTTTTTTCATTCATTAAAAAAAACTTCCTTTGTATACAAAACCACATACTCTCCAAATTCATATTCATTAGTATGCCTAAAATTTAGCTTTCACTGATAAGCTTTGGATTAAAATAAACTGGTGTTTGATTATATGTGGGTAATGCTAAGTGACACTGACGTCTTACTTTTCTTATTTGAAGGTGAGAATAATATTAAAAGTAATGGCAAAAAACACAATTACTTTTGCACTGAACTAATAGTTGTCTCTTAAGGTTAAGAGAATTAAAACAGATAATTGGTATAAAACATATCTAGACCTACCAAGAACAGTGACAATGAGGGAGGTAGTAGCAACAGTGATTCCTACTACCCAGTCTAAAAGTTATCTCAGTTCATACTGGTTGTTATGTTATTTGAGGGGTATAATGGACTTACGGTGATTCTTTCCTATCTTTCCTTGATTTCTTTAGGTATGTGATTTATCTTCTCATAACTTCAGTGATGAAGATGGTAATACTTAAAACTTCACAAGATTTATTTAAGGATGATAAAAAACTAAGGTAATATGATTTGAAATGTTCATTATTATACTCTGTGTAATACCATACATTAACTTAGCCCCATATACATGTATTAATATTTTTGTCAAGTGAGTATCTCCCTGGAGTGAAGATACATAGTATTTCTCTATCTATATAAGTAGAGTAGAATAGACAGAAATGTAATTTAAATACATCTGTGAAAAACAGAAACACACTAAAAAGGAATGACTGATTAGTATCTGCCATATACTATTAAAAGGTAGAAAGGAGGCCTCAAGACACCGTGACAAGATGATGAGTGTTACACATTAAATTGTGTCTCTCATAATTCACATTAAGTCCTAATCTTTAGCACTTCGGAATGTGACCTTATTTAAAAATAAGGTCATTACAGGTGTAACTTGCTAAGATACGGTCACTAAGGTGTGCCCTAATCCATTACGACTGGTATTCTGATAAAAATGGGAAATGTGGAGACAGACACATGTACTCAGGAGGAACACCATGTGAAGGCAACAAGCTGTAACCCAAAGAATTCCAAACATTGCAGGCAAACTACAAGAAGGTACAAGAATGGGACGGATCAGTGACTCACAGCTTTCAGAAGTAACCAACTTGCCAACACCTTGGATTTTGGCCTTCTAACATCTAGAAATGTAAGACAATAAATTTCTGTTGTTTAAGCCACCCAGTTTGTGGTACTTTGTTACAAGAGTCCTAGGAAACTAATATAATTGGTAAGCCAAGAGTTCCAGCAACAGGTAAATGTACAAAGTTTTAGTTAAATAGGAGGAATGAGATTTGGTGTTCTATTGCACAACATGGTGACTCTAGTTAATAATAATGCATTGTATATTTCAAGATAGCTAAAAGAGGATGTAAGATGTTCTCACTGCAAATAAATATTTGAGGTGGATATGCTAATTATCCTGATTTAATCACCTAACAATGTATACATGCATCAAAAGATCACACTGCACCCCATATATACAGTTATTTGTAATCTAAAATAAAATAAATTGAAACAAAAAGAGAGGCTATAAAGAATCTCCTTGAACATGAAGACTGTGTATATTTGTAATCTGGTAACAAGGTATAATAAGTAGTAAGCCAACCGGAGACAACTAATGACCACAATTTTCTGGATAATTAGCATATGGTAGAGAACAGAGATTGCAAATAAAGTGTTGGAGGTCCTTAAGCCAGGAGAGAACAAGCTAAGTCTGTATGAAATCACCTAATCTGTACCAGAGAAGCGTTGATTATAGATTTCCTGAAGAGACAGACTCACAGGGAATGACATGAAAGTTGTTTTTGCTTCCTTGACACTTTGTCCTTACAGAAGATAGCCAAATGGATTTGGGAAAGCTGAGAAACAATGGGCAGGAACTGATTCAGCGTTTCTGATGATCTGGGTTCATGTAGCAACATTTTACTTGGCTTGGTGCTACTTAGTAGGGTGCAATTTGGAGATGGTTCCGTTCTAATCTGAGCTCCTTAAGAAGCAGCCACGATAATTCTAGCACATTGAATAAAATGAGTTGAAAAAAACTCACCGCAGTACTTTATGTAGCTGTCCATATTTGTCCCATTTAAGTTGGCTGGAAGCCCCTATTCAAAGAAGCTTCATTACTACTTTTCCAAAACTGATGGGACATTAGAATGCATTCAATGAGCGATATTGGGTCAAAATAAAAAAGCTAGCTACTATAAGTTTTTGTGATCACGAATAGTCTTTGATTCTCAAAAGTTTATGGGAGAAGCAGCTCCGAGCTCAGAATTCTTGCTGGGTCATGTAAATGTCCAATGCAAAGCTTTTGTAGTCAGTTCCCTTTCTCAATCTAAATTTTGAGCTAACTCACTTGGCATTACAATATGAACATCACTTCTGTTTCATCCTTTATTTATTATGCCCCTCCCAACAAAAACAAGGCTCAATTCACTCTGATTATATTTCATAGGGGATATGTTGGACGAACATGAGTTAGTAAATTAAACTGGGATCTCTGGTTTTGCTCTGTAGCTCTATTACTGTGGACAGCTACTTCATTGTATTATTCTTCATGTAATACCAAAGCTCTTCCATTTTCTTTGAGTGTGTGTCATGGCTTCATATATTGCGTTTGATAATGACTCAGCCATGTAGAGCTGAGATAATATACTTATAAAAATAGTCATAAAAGGGGCTAGCACGGATTTAATCAGAGAACAGGGTGCCAAATGAGTTTAGAATCAGAACACATCAAATGACTCTAACACACTCTTATTATGCACTCTGTTTCACTCTTCTGCTTCAGTAATTTTTGGTTGGATGCTGGTTATTATATTTGAAGATATGGCAAGTATCCAATCCCATAAACAAAGGTGCTTCTCAGATTCTGGCCATTTTATCAAGTTAGCATGATGCACACAGGTAGTGCAGCAGGGAAGGTCAATATTGAACCCATTACAAACTAAATCTGGTTCCCCTATTACAGTTCAGCTATTCGGAATCTGTAAGGAACACCTGTTATTAGAATTTTATGCCAAATAAAAATCATTATGAATTCTGCTTTGCACCTTTATTTTATAACCTCAAAAACATAATTGAAGAACAACATATTTTCTGAAATAAAAAAATGCCATTTTTGAGCACATATTAATTAAAAGACATTCAACTGAAGGTTTGAGTTTGGCAATTTACTGAGTAAAAATTCCAAGTACAAGAAACAAATAAAACATCATTATTTAGAAATTAAAGTGGTTTGACGAAGTCTTGGTTATACGTTCAACATTATTTCTTTTGTAAAAACTGCTTTAATTCTGCGAACATTGTTTTACGTCAAAGGAAGTTAGGTGGGAAAAAATTCTGTTGAGGTTATTAATAAATCAGTAGCTGTATAGAAAATATTTAGCCTGTATGTTACTCTCAAAGTGGAACCCATAAGCTCTACTCTTACCTACAATTATTTCAACAGGAAAAATGAAAGTCTTTGGTATTCATATCAATTCAACTTGTAAACAAGTAAAACATTAATACTGTATCGTGTGTTTTCTTAAGCATATTAAGGGTATACCAGCATTTGAATAGTAAAATTACTACATGCTTAAATTCCCAAAATTATCCAAATTTTAACGTTTTACTACACTTTCTCTATCATTTCTATGTCCTGCCTACACACACACACACACACACACACACACACACACACACAGACACACTTTCTTCCTAAACCCATTGACAGTAAGTTTCAGGCATGACATTTATTTAACCCTAAATAATTTACTGTATGTCCTAAAATCAGAGAAATTTTCTTATATAACCACAGTAAAACATCTGAAAATGAACATTTATATAGTACTATTATGTAAACACCCTATTCGTATTTTTCCAGTTGCCCCAGTAATGTTCTTTAAAGCAAAAGCAAATCTGAGGTACTTCATGTATACTTGACATGTCTCTTTAATCTCATTTAATCTTGAACAATTCCTCAAGCTTTACCTTTTATGTTACTGACACTCTTCAATATTACAGGACAATTATTTTGTAAAATTTAGCTTTGTGTGATGTTTCCTTGTAATTAGATACTTCTGTGATTTTTTTTTCTTCTCATTGCAACCTATCAACAAGCTCATAATAGTGATCTGTCCCATTACTGTCAGGCTCCCTTTGATCACTTGATTCGGGTGGTATCTGCCAGCTTTCTTTTCTTTACTGTAAAGTTCTTATTTTTGCCTTTCTAGGCAATGGGGATACATCAATGAAGGAGGACAGATAAGATCCATTTTCTCATGGAATATTCATTTTCCCAAGGGAGATAGACCAAAGCAAAAGGAAAGAAATGAAGAAAAAGGGAAAGAGGAATGAAGGAGGAATAGAAGAACAAATAAATGATAAACTCCCATAAGAGCTATTAGAAAAATAAGATGATTAGTGGTAGAATAGGGATAGTTTATGAAAGATAGTTGAAACAGGCCTCTCTGAAGCGTAATACCTTTCTCTAAGAGCCACATAATGAGAAGGCTCCAGCCATATGAAGATATATCAAGGAGAAGGATATTCTTGATGGAGGAAACAGGAGATATAGCATGCAGGAATGAGTTGCAAGAGTTAAATCAGGTTGGTTAGGTTTTTTTTTTTGAGATGGAATCTGACTCTATCACACAGGCTGGAGTCCAGTGGCAGTATCTGCAACCTCTGCCTCTCACATTCAAAAGATTCCACCTCAGCCTCCCAAATAGCTGAGATTACATGTGCACATCACCATGCCCAGGTAATATTTTTTGTATTTTCAGTAGAGACGGGGTTTCACCATGTTGGCCAGGATGGCAACAAACTCCTGACCTCAGGTGATCTGCTCACCTTGGCCTCCCAAAGTGCTGGGATTACAGATGTGAGCCACTGTGCCCAGCCTAGTTTTTGTTTTTTTGTTTGAGACAGAATCTAGCTCTGTCATCCAGGCTCGAGTGCAATGGTGAGATCTTGGTTCACTGAAACGTCTACCTCCCAGATTCAAGCGATTTTCCTGCCTTGGCCTCCAACGTAGCTGGGATTACAAGTGTGCACCACCACGCCCATGCTAATTTTTATATTTTTAGTAGAGACAGAGTTTCATCACATTGGCCAAGCTGGTCTCCAACTCCTGACCTCCAGTGATCTGCCTGCCTCGGCCTCTCAAATTGCTGGGATTACAGGCGTGAGCTACTGTACCCGGCCATTGGTTAGATAGGTTCCTAAATATGACTGTATAGGCCATAGCAAGGAGTATGGATTTTATTTTAAGAGAAAGCAGAAGAATTAAATAATTTAGTTTATCCTTGGATAATTAATAGCAGGGTGTGGCCACAGTACAGGAAGAGAGGCCAGTGTGGCCTCCTCTATTTACAACACTGTGTCCCAAATCTCAGCTCCTCATCCACTGAGAATGGCACTGCATTGATTCCAGAAGAAAACAGTTCTGATATACCTACTTCTTAAGCATTTTTGTATCCAGAGTACTTAGATTATGAGAGAAAGATTAAACATGTATTTAGCGTATTATAGCAATAACTAAATTTTTTTAGCAAATGTATCTACAGCTCATCAGAAATAGTTTGTATTAGCTCTTTCTGTATGCAACTCTCCACTTTAAGTACCTTCTGCAGACAGAACACAAAATTTTTTTTCAAAACATAAATTTTTTTTTTCACATTTGCTAATATTTATGTAAACACTTGCAAGTCATGATAAAATCACAGAAGGAAACATACATGAAAACATTTAGTATTTCATTGTATTCCTCTACATATAAACTCAATTCAAATTGTCACTGGATTAGTAGGTTTGAAACTTTTCTGAATGTATTAAGCACAGTCTTACTACTATAGCACATAAATTTTTGATTAAAGGTAATTCACTCTAATTTTCAAAATAATCTACTTGGTCAAAAGCTTTGCTTTGCTGCTGTCTGATCACCTGGAGATGGTGGTGAACAGCCCGGTTGCATTTCTTGGAGGAAGATCTTTTATTCCACTGCTCAACCCAGGTCTCTGCCTTCCTTAGAGACTGAGGATCATCCATCAGTTTCCCTGGAGAATGGCCTGCAGCTTCCCACTCAGGGCTTGGGTGTACTCATCTAGTCCCTCCCAGGGCTGGAAGGGGTGTTCCTGGTGATCCACAAAGGTGTCCCAGCAGTAACTAAACTCACTATATTTCATCATAGAAATTGGGGCCCCAGCTCTGTTCAGCCTGCACAGGCCCTTTATATATCCTTGTTGATAGCCATAGATGTGGGCAGCAAAGATGTGCAGGTTCACGTGTGGGTTCTCTTGAAGGAATTCAGCCACCTTCTCAGCACAGCTGAAGCAGGGGCTCCAGGAGATGAAGCAGGTGACTGTGTAGTACTGGGCCAGGTCCAGCTTCCAAAAGGAAATCAGGTCCAGGAGGCACAGCTCTGCATGGCGGCCTTCAGGGAAACCTGGATTATTTGAAGCCTGGTTGAGTATGAAGCCCCTGTGCTGGTGCAGCAGGACCCAGGTGCCATTGTGCAGGTGCTCCACCTCATAACACAGGTAGGTCTGGTGCTGTCCAAAGACCGAAGGGTCATTGGTAAAGTTGTAAGTGAATGTGACTGGATCCATCAGGTGTCCGAGAACCTCCCCCAGTATAATGCGCAGCACTGTATAATGTTTAGTCAGCTTATTCCAAGGCTTGTACAATCTTTGGTTGTCCATGAACTTGTCCCAACAGTGTTGAAATTCACCATAACTCATGATCTTCATGGTGGCATGCGGACTGTCTCTTCTCTGACACAGTCTGTGAAGCTCTTCCTGGTAATGTAGGTCCCAGAAGTAATAGAGGCGGGCCACGAAGATGGTCAGGGTGACCTTCCTGTCCTCGGCCAGGAACTCAGCTACATTCCTTGCACACACTGGGCAGGGGCTCCAGGACACAAACCAGGTGACCTCGTACTCCTGGTCACTATGCAGCTTCCACTTTCGGAACCAATGGAGAAATCTCATCTCTGGGTTGTGTTGAGGCATCGAATAGACCTGGCCTTGCAAGATCTTTGCAACCAAAGGCGGCCTCGAGCAGTCGTTTGTTTTCATTTTCACTTCATAGCACAGCCGGACAGTGTTCCAATGCAAAAGGATGGGTCTATTATAAAAGTTGTAGAAGAATGTGTCTGGATCCATTCGCACCACCATGTTTCTGGTCTGAGGCTTCATCTGTGGCCAGCTAGTCCCAACCATGATCTTTGTCTGAACCACTAGGGTTTCACTTTCTTAAATTGTTTAATTTCATATATTGTTAATCTAGCTCTATTAAGCTAAATTTGCAATAAAAGCCTTCCACTTAAATTATAATGCCACACTTGTCATTGTGTGAAAAACCAAAAAACAATGGATTCAAAATATTATTTTACACATGCTTTTCCAAGAAGCTGACTGTATTCCTCTAGAACTTCATAGCTTGCACGGCACAGAGCAATTTTAAAATCAATTTGATCCACACTTTGTTCTTGGGAAGACCAGCTCTTTGTTTTCTGTCTTCTGATGATACACATAGTTCACATATAATGGGTGGAACATGAGAAGTAGCAAAGATTAATGGAAGTATATCCCTTAAAACCAGTATCTCAACTCTTCCTGGAAAAATGGCAAAATAAAGCAAGAAAACCTGCTTTGAAAATTGGCTTTTTGGAAAAGAGTTAGAAATGAAAATCAAAGTGAATTTCATCTAGCTATCTTTAGGTTTATGATCATCACATTCCTTATAATTTTTATATTTTTCAAACATCTCTATTATTAAATATTTTTCCATATAGTAAATAACCAAAGAATAATGTAAGCAAATTTCTTAATAAAAAGCCAACTACATAAATGGAGGATGTCATTATTATATGTCATCATAGTCAAAACAAAAGTATATAAAATCATACTTCTTTTGATAAAAAATGAATTCACAGTAGTAGCAAATGCTGTACACTAATTTTATTTTTTAAATGTTCTTCTTTTTACCCTTAATAAAGATTTGCCTTAAGAATAATAAAATAACTCATCAGGTTAAATATTTAAAAAGTGATTTGCCAACTACTTCACAAAGATAATACTTTGTGAAGAAGCCTTGCATTACCAAAAGCATTTTTAAGGGCTATATAGCAAAAATAGACTGTGTCACATCTAAGTAACTTTAAATATTTTTAAATATTTCATTCATCTAAATTATTGTATATTTACTATCAGATAGGTTTTACAAATTTGAGTAATTCCAGATGACACATAAAATGAATATTTATTTATTACTACAGTAGACTATAACTGATATTGGAAGTCACTTTATAACTTATGGTTAGCAAGTACAAAACTCTAACTTCTATTTCTTTCCTTTAGGTAGTTTACCTGAAATAAAGATGCAAAGCCAGCAGATGGAGAGAAAAAGAGGTTCATGGGTTTGCTACATACATAATTTCTATAATCTCTAAATTGTATGCTTACTTGCAGCTACATCTTATCTCAAATACCTGCAGTAATTATCTCTTAAGCGCAATGAAATTTTTTCACTTCTCAATTTATCACTAACTACCTAGTTAATATGTTCCAGTTATAACTGGTCTCAAATAATTGTAAAAGACTTATGTAATACTTAATGAATAATTTGATGAAATAAGTTTCCCTTTTGTTTCTAAAGAGGAAAATGTACCAATAGCCATTACTTTTTTAAATCTAAAAGCTACAAACAGAAATGGTTTTGCGATTTTCATATATCTCCTTAGAAATTTTCTAGCTTCAAACATGTGACATTTGTTTCTCTTACATAAACGTCTTCGAAGATTACTGCTAAAAATGTAAACATCTTTTCCAACAAATACTTTCAATGCAGTATAAACACATATTGCAAACAATGATTTAAACTAATTCCAAGAAACCAGGCTACTGGCATTCTAGGATTTTGCTAGTTAGAGGAACTAGTCCCAGATGGGAAAAGCATTCTTTGTTGTGTGACGTAATTACAGTAAATAAGGCCCAGAGAGAAAAACTATGGGTTGTACATCTCAAAACTGCAACTTTACTCTGCTGGTCACTCTGCTGTCACCACCAAAGGTCAAGCAGACAGCCACGCAATTTTGAGGTGGGACAGGAAAATAATCCAGTCAGAATCCAAGCAGAAGTTTAGTTCAATAAGCACCCATTTTGCCCTTCTGGAAACCATGTCAGGCAATGAGACATGAAGATAAATCATACATAGGCCCTTACTTGAGGAATTCCTAATCTAACCAATGTCATAGATATATTGTGACATGACAATTAATAATTAGTATATGCAAGGTATAGTAAGATATAATTCCTATAAAATAGAGGTGAGGTGATAACCTCTCTTTCGAACATAAAGAGAAGGATTCTCAGGAGCAATTGCTGAGTGAGCATGCATGTATTCATTCATTTATCAAATACTGATGGAACATTCATTCATTTATCAAATACTGATGGAACATTGTTATGGGTTGAATTGTGTCACTAAAAAGATGTGTTGAAGTCTTAGCCCCTGGGATGTGACCTTATTTGAAAACAGGGTCTTTGCAAATTTAACCAGGTTAAGTTAAGGTCATTAGGATAGGCCATATCCAATATGACTTATGTCCTTATGAGAAGGAAAAAATTTGAACACACACAGATATACAGGATATACAGCCACATGAGGACACTCCCCTAGAGGTTACAGAAGGAGCACAGCCCTGCCAACACTTAATTTTGGACTTCTGGCCTCTAGAACTGTGAGAGAATGCACTTCTGTTGTTTTAAGTCACCCTGTGTATGGTACTTTGCTATGGTAGGCCTACAAAACTAATACAATTATCTACTATGAATAAGACACTGGGAATATTGCTCAGGTAATAGTGATAAAAAGGATAAAGACTCTGTATTAAGTATGATAATAGGTTGTTCTGTGCAACAAATATAAACAAAACTATGAAAAGGTATTGTTTGTTGTGAGAGTTTTAAGTGATTTGATATTACTGTAGAAATAAAAAGTGGGATTAGCAGAAAGTTTAGCAGTGGACAGATTATTTTTGAAAATAGTTTGGATTAATCATGTTCATATGACTTATGGATTATAGTTTAAACTAGAAAAATGGTATGTTTATACTTTTAACAGGCCACTCTGATATCAGCAATTTAATTGATTTGTTCTAAGTAATACCAGGATAGACCAGTTAGGAAGGCAGGGTAAGAGGTGAAACAAGAGAGAAAAGGAGAATCTTAATTGATGCCATGAAACGAATGATGGCTTTCAAGTCAAATGATTTTGAAAGTCAACCACTGTAGAAGGGGCTATACAAAACCAATGTTTTAAAAAAGAATATTGTTTAAGGCAGTGCACTAATAAAAGAAAAATCTGCAAAAAAATGTTTAAAAAAAGATAGGTAAAAATTAGTCCTTCTATTTAGAAACCAAGGATCCAAGGCCATATGTAGAGGTAACATGAACACACACACACACACATACACTTTGAGTTGTTCCTGGTATGGGAGCCAGAGACAAATCTGCATGTGAGACTTGCCTGAATAGCTAGCCTGAGAAGGATGGCAGATTTGAGAGTCCAATTCAGGCGTCATAGAAGAAAAAGGAGCTTCCACAAAGGGATTAATTTTAAGTCCTGATTTAGTTGGGCATTTGCAATTTACCATGACTTAAGATTTGTTTTTGACAAACTCATGATTTCTCAACCAATTGTGTTAGAAAACCATTAAAATAAGCGTAATAAATATGTCTCTTCTTGGCATTCTCTGACATTAAATCTAAGCAGTTTCTCTTGCTTTTTCTTCACAATTTAATCTAATAGGTGGATTTATGTGCTATGAGTAATTAGGTGACTCTGAAAGAGGTAAGACCACAACTTTGGTAAAAGTATGCCACTGCTATACCAAAGCAATTTTAGCTCTTATAGCAGGATTTATAGCATTTGCTCTCCGGGTACTCAGCAGTAGTGAAGTTAGGTAGGACCATCAGTACATTGGGGCCTATGTTTCGGCTTGTTCCTGTTTAATGTTGTATTAATGATGCTAATAATAATGACAGCAATTAAAGTTTATTGAGCCCTTTTGATACACAAGGCTCCGTGCTATAAGCTCAATTCATTAGCCAACAACCCTATAAAGTAGGCTCTATTCTTATTCTCCTAGTAGGAAAGCAAATTTTGGAGATTAAAATTTTTTTCAAGAGGTGAATTAGACATGTGAATACATTTTTAATTATTATGTTATTACGGGCAATCATAGATATCAAATGGCTGTGATATATACATACACAGAAGGTCTCCAAGTTGATAGTTTGACTTACAATTCTGTGGCTTTACAATGGGTTTATTAGTACATAAGTCAAGGAATATCTGCATGTACAGAATTTATACATATATACACACAGACACATATATACATATATGTATATTTATAGATGGGAGGAGAAGAAAAGGAGAAAGAAAGGGAAAAGAGAGGAAGACAGGGAGAAGAGGAAAGAAAGGGAGAGGAGAGGACTTCAGAAGAGAGAAGACGGAGAGACAAAACAAGGATAGTGAGAGAAAGGGAGGGAGGAAGAGGGAGAGGAAGAGAGGCAAAGGGAGAGTGGGAAGAGGGAAAGGAAGAAGCGGGAGAGAAAATAGTGCTGTCATTAAATTTATGGATTTTTTTTTTTTTTTTGAGACGGAGTCTTGCTCTGTCACCCAGGCTGAAGTGCAGTGGCACGATCTCGGCTCACTATACCCTCCGCCTCTTGGGTTCAAGCGCATGCCACCACACTCGGCTAAGTTTTGTATTTCTAGTAGAGATGGGGTTTCACTCAGGCTGGTGTTGAACTTCTGACCTTGTGATCCACCCGCCTTAGCCTCCCACAGTGCTGGGATTACAGGCATGAGTCACCACGCCCAGCCTAAATTTATGGATTCTTGACAAGATTTCCTAGGACCCAGTCCCATTTGTGCTGTTACCTGGGACAATTTACCTAATCCTTCCAGGCCTCAATTTTCACAACTGTTAAATGGAAAAACTAAATAGTATGTACTTTTCAAAGGGTTATGGGAAGATTAATGCAGTTAAAACTGTGCATAGAAAGGTAAAGGAAGAAAGCACTACTTAGCCATTATCATTCTCATCTTCATCATCATCATCATCGCTGTAAATGGTTACTCATTACTGCAGATATTTAAACAAACGTTGCATAAATATAAGGCAAGAGTTTTATAAAAGGATTCACATGCTGGATAGATAATTGGATAAGATTATCATTATTTTGTGAGTTGGGTTCTGTGCTCATGTAAGTCTAGGAAATACTACACAATATACTGCCTCCTTGGACTTTCAGAATTAATGGCAGGCATATTAAGGTCCTCAACTTAATCTTACTTGTTTTTCTTTTTTCTGAGATAGAATCTCACTCTTGTCGCCCAGGCTGGAGTGCAGTGGCAGGATCTTGGCTCACTGTAACCTCCACCTCCCAGGTTTAAGGGAGTCTCCTGCCTCAGCTTCCCAAGTAGCAGGGATTACAGGTGCTTGCCACCATGGCCGGCCTTTATCTTACTTTTAAACCATCATTTTCCAGCTCTGTCAGACAATGCTACCTTTCCTGCACTTTACATCTCAGTTTAATTCACAGCACTGATGTACTTAACACAGTGTTAAGGGTATGTTTAATCTGGAAGCAAAGGAAAGCATTCCTTATGTTTTGGCCCTAATCTACCAGTAATTCAAACTCAAATAGCCAGT